GGTTACTGGCAGGTGTCAGCGGGGTCTTTCGTACTGGCATGTCGGGGTGCTGGGGCTGGGGTCAGAGGTGCAGAAGAGAAGTTAAGGGTGACATCTTCTTGTATCGCTCCTGCCACAGACAGCTGGGGTGCTGTGCCATCGTCCTGGGCGACGCGGAGGGTAGGCGAGGGGTGGCGGGGTGGGCTGTGGCCCTGGGACCACGTGCTGGCTGGCAAGCACCTACCTGTGTTGTCCTTGGGCCAGCCCTGGGCCTGGACGTTTTTCTGAGCTCAGGGAATAGAATCACAGAGTCATGAAGGCTGGAACAGACCTCTAGGACCATCAGGTCCAACCATCACCCCAACACCACCGTGCCTGCTAAACCATGTCCCCAAGTGCCATGTCTACACAGCTTTTGAACCTCTCCAGGGATGGGGACCCCTCCAGCTCCCCAGGCAGCCTGTTCCAGTGCCGGACACGGGGACAATCCAGCTCCCGGGAAGGTGCCTCAGCGTTCCGAGTCACCCATAGCCGAGTAACTTGCCAAGGGCCAAAAATCACAGGGCAGATGAAGTGAACTATATTTTCCTTAACCCAAGCAAGGATTAGCATTTTCTTAGAGGGGTTCCCATCGCCTGAGCCCCCCGTTCTGTGGCCAAAAATCACAGGGCAGATGAAGTGAACTATATTTTCCTTAACCCAAGCAAGGATTAGCATTTTCTTAGAGGGGTTCCCATCGCCTGAGCCCCCCGTTCTGTGCTGCCACCCCCGGTGTGTCGCTGGGCGGCTGCACGGGAATTTGGACGGCTTCTGGCAGCACGGGTGAGCCCGGGGGAGCACCGGTGTGGCTGAGGGCAGCTGAGAGACAGCCTGGCCCCCCTCTCCCCCTGCTTTCCTGCCTTTGTTCCGATATTAAAGCCGCTGTCTGCAGCTCTCCTGTTGTTATAACAACCTGCGCTGCCTGCAAGAAGCACATGCCAGCCCGGCGGGGCCGCGATTGCCTGGCAGCGGTGTGCCCGGCTCCCTGCGGCCCAGCCCGGCCCGGCTGTCCTGGTTCGTGCAGCAAAACAAAAAAAGATGACAAAAAGGGGTCCTGTGGACAGGAGCCGGTTACTGGCAGGGGTTAGC